TTAAATCCCCCCAGGCGGTTATTTGGGGGTTATTTCAGAACCATTCAGAGTGAGAAGCAAGGGTCATGCAAACAATCCCTGTGTTCTGATAGCAATCAGTCATGGTTCACCTTTATACTTGAATCGCCATCTCTCATTCGGTGAATGAATGAATTTCAGGTTGTGTAGGCTGCAGGTGGCCCGGTCTGTGTTATGCCAGCATGGGGCTTAACTGCTATTCTAAAATGTGGAGCTGGCTTTAGGGTTGCCCTGTGAGTCACCTGACCTGGATTAGAGTTATTAAGTAGTAGACATCTGTAGAGCACTCTAAAAGTACAAGATGTTCAGAAATGCTTCTGTACTCTGGAAGGGTGATACCTGTCATACACTGCTAGGTACGTTACAGATCAGGAGTTTGATGTTATATTTTCTTTGCACTGTTCCCTGTTATTGTTATGTTTGCAAACAAACGCCTGTAATAAAAACAATTCCAGCAGCAAATAAGTGTGGTCCTAAACAGGAGCAGATTCTCCATGGTGAAATGTGAGGTGAAATGGTCTCCAGAGGGCACTAGATGCTTGATCCAGCCCAGGAAGTTGTAAACAGCCTTGTGGCACCTTAAAGACTAATTAATTTTATTCTGGCATAAACCTTCATGAGCCAGAGCTCACTTCCTCAGTTGCTAGTTCCATTCATTAGGCAGGCAGACACACAGACATTCAGATACAAACAGCAGAAGGGGGTGAGTGCTGGAAAGAGACACCTGAAGGCCCATAAGAACATAAGAGAAGCTGTGCTGGATCAGGCTAATGGCCTGTCTAATACTCTGTGTCACAGTGGCCAAAACCCAGGTGTCATTAGGGGGTTCCTCCAGTGGGGCCAGAACTCCAGAAGCCCTCCCACTGTGGCCCCCACAGACCAAGAATACAGAGCATCACTGCCCTGTTCCCTCTATACTTTGTAGCTAATAGCCACTGATGGACCTCCGCTCCATATGTTTATCTAATCCCCTCTTGAAGCTATCTATGCTTGTAGCTGCCACCACTTTCTGTGGTAGTGAATTCCACATATTAATTACTCTTTGAGTGAAGAAGTACCTCCTTTTATCTGTCCCTAAACCTACTGCTCAACAATATGATTGAGCGCCCATGAGTTCTATATTGTGAGAAAGGGAGAACAGTACTTCTTTCACTGCCTTCTCTATCCCATGCATAATTTTGTAAGCCTCTTTCATGTCACCCCTTAGTTTTCCTTTCTCCAAGCTAAAAAGCCCTAACCTCTTTAACTTTTCTTCATAGGGAAAGTGTTCCATCCCCTTAATTATTTTAGTTGCCCTTTTCTGCACTTTTTCCAATGCTATAATATCTTTTTTGAGGTGCAGTGACCAGAACTGTACACAGTATTCCAAATGAGGCCACAGCATCAATTTATAAAGGAGCATTATGATACTGGCTGATTTGTTTTCAGTTCTCTTCCTAATAATCCCCAGCATAGCAATTGCCTTTTTTATTGCTGTTGCACACTGAGTCGACATTTTCAGTGAGTTATCTATTACAGTTACTGCCAGTTTGGACCCCATCAACGTGCATTTATAGTTGGGATTTTTTGCTCCCATGTGCATTAGTTTGCACTTGCCCACATTGAACCTCATTTGCAATGTTGATGCCCACTTATCCAGCCTTGACAGATCCCTCTGGAGTGCCTCACAGTTCTCCCTGGTTTTCACCACCCTAAACAACTTAGTGTCACCTGCAAACTTAGCCCCTTCACTGCTTACTCCCAACTACAAATAATTAATGAACAAGTTAAAAAGCACTGGACCTAGTACCAAGCCCTGTAGTACCACACTGCTTACTAACTTCCACTGTGAAACCTGCCCATTTAAACTCACTCTATATTTCTTATTAATTTACCAAGTTTTAATCCATAAGAGGACTTGTCCTTTTATCCCATGACTGCTGAGTTTACTTAGAAGCCTTTGATGAGGAACGTTATCAAATGCTTTCTAGAAGTCTAGGTAAAAAACGTCTATTGGGTCACCCTTGTCCACACGCTTGTTTAGTGAGACAAGTCTTCCCTTACAAAATCCATACTGATTCTTCCTCAATGGCTTTTGTTCATCAGTGTGCCTACTAATTCTGTTTTTAATAATGGATTCCACCAACTTACCTGATATCGATGTTAGACTGACCAGCCTGTAATTTCCTGAATCTCCTCTGGAACCTTTTTAAAAGATGGGGGTTACATTAGCTACCTTCCAGTCCTTGGGAATGGAAAGGAAGATTTTAATGATAAATAGCATATTTTTGTCAGGAGATCCAGAAGTTCACATTTGAACTCTTGGATATATGCCATCTGCACCTGGTCCATCAGTCACAGGACCTCCTCGTCACCTCAATCTGACTCAGGTCTTTTAACACCTTCCGAAATCGGCAGTTCTGGAGTGGGCAAGCACTCCTCATCTTCAATAGTGAAGATGGAGGCGAAAAAAGCATTCCGCTTCTCTGCCATTTCCCCGTCGTCCTTCAGTATTCCTTTTACCCCTTGGTCATCCAGAGGCCCCACTGCCTCCCTGGCTGGTTTCCTGCTTCTAATGCATTTGAAGAAAATTATATTATTGGTCTTTATGTTTTTTGGAATATGTTCCTCATAGTCCTTTTGTTGCCTGTCTGATCACTGACGTGCATTTTATTTGCCACAGCCTGTGCTCCCTTTTATTTACCTACCTTGGACTAGCCTTCCACTGCTTAAAGGAACCCTTCTTCCCTTTTACTGCTTCCATTACTTTGTTAACCATGCAGGCCTTTTTTATACCTATCTGTACCTTTCCTAATCTTTGGTATACATTTTATCTGAGCTTCTAGGAGTGTGGTTTTCAATAGTTTCCAAGCTTCCCAAAGGGATTTGACCCTCCTTATCTTTCCTTTCAGTTTCTTCTTCACAAGCCCCCTCATTTGAGAAAAGTTACCCCTTCTAAAGTTAAATGTGGTTGTGTTGGTCTTTTTGGGCAACTCCCTACTTGCATAAATGTAAAACTTAATAACATTATGTCATGACCCTGTCCTTCCACCTCTGCCTTATTGGCTACTTTCCAGGCCACCACAGAGACTACAGGGTGTTTACCTCCCTTCAGGGTCGTATAAACCAGCACAATGAGAGTAGAAAAGACAATAACTATTTGGTTTTCGGGGGACGTGGCGACGTCGAGCAACATGGCGGTCGCTTAATTTGAAGGCTCCGTCTCTCCCCTCTCTAAAAACAACTCTACAAACCTGAAAAATCGTTCACCCTCTGAGGAATGGGTAAGAATAATGGCCTTAAACTAACAACATCTAAAGCAGCTATAAAATCTAATTCAAAAAATTTCTTTAACCCAAAGAAAGTCAAACCAAGTCCCAAAGGCTCTGGGGAAGCCTCACGCAACATGGCGGCCAGTCAATCACAAATCCAGGCCTCCGGCTCATCAGCCGACATGCCAGACCTCCCTCTTTTATTAGAGAGAATGGAACAAAGACTCTCTGCAAAACTCGTGGATATACAATCCGCACTGACCAAAACGGTAAGCACGGCTGAATCGGCATTAAATATATCCGCTTTACTGAAGAAGGATGTCAAAGAACTCAAACACGGGAAACGAATCATAATGAACGCATACTTATTATTGAGACGCAAATGAGATTACCGAACCTGAAATTCCGCGGAGTTCTGGAGGGAGAAGAAGAAAACTTAGATCTTATATATTTTATGGGGAAATTGCTGGCCTATGTCTTTCATCTGGAGGAAGAGGAATGGCCGAATATCCTCAAGGCATATCGTTTAGGCCCTCCGATCAATCCGAGAAGAAAAGGGCCAAGAGACATACTGGTACAATTTGCAGACAGAAGGACTCGGCAGAGCATTTTAAAAGAAGCGGCGGAAAAAGGTCACCTATTATATAAAGATATTCAAATTCAAGTATTCCCCGATATCCCCCAAGAAGCCTTAAAAATTCGCAAAGCTTTAAAATCAACTACGCTCCACCTGCAACAAGCTAATGTGAGATACCATTGGATGGCGTCGGGAGGCCTTCAAATATCCCACCATGGCTCTTCCTTGCAAGCGATAGATGAGGAATCGGGTCTGGCCCTGCTAGAGTCACTGCGGATCACAGAGCCTATGGACACCAGCGGTAGATCTGGAAAGAGGCGGCACGAATCACTGGACTCACTGGAACAAAATCCAAGAACAGCCCCTAAAGAAGCCTTGTGTTAAAATGGCCCACGAGGGGGGAGAGAGTTATGAAATTGATAAGAGAAGTACAACAGTTGCTAGTTGCTTAGTTTCCCACTTAGAATGTTAAGTTTTATGGTATTACAGGTTTGTGATTTTATATCTTCAAATAAGGAGAGAGGGGAGGGGGGAGTTTTTTGGTTTAGTCCCGAGTAAAAGAAAACGCTTGTGGGTTCTTGCCCTTTAAGGAGCAAGAAACGATCCCGAGTCGGTTCAAAGTTTTAGCGCTAAGTGC